GAACTGAAGTTCCTAATTAACCTTCAGAAAGCTGAGATGTCTTTTATCTCTTTGCCTTATCTGCTTTTTCTCATGGGTCAGATTGAGTTTAGCTTTTAAAGTTCATTCGGAACATGTTTACTGCCTTCTTCCTCACACTGTCTCATTTTCTCCTGGCCTCTCATTTAGTCCTGATACCTTTCTTGTAGGTTGTGATGATCCTTGAGGTTTGACTTTTTCCTTTTTTCTGAAGTAATCAAAAACTAGAGTTTTCTCTTTTGTATAGCTACTGTTAAGAGAGTAGCTTCCAAAGCTAACTAGTTGGAGTAAGGATTTGCCATCCTGCTGTCAAGGATAATAATCTCCATAATTTTGAAAATTAAGTGTCACTGGAGAAACTTGCTGGGCAGGTAGACTGTACTTCACTTGTGACATTTAGTAAGGCTCTCTGCAGATGAGACTTTCTTCTGCTGTGTAATGCAGTGCTGACATGGTTTCTCTCCTCTCAAGAAAGATGCCTTTGCCCTTTACCCTCTTGTGCTTCTGGGTGTATCTTGCTTGCTTCCACTTACCTGCCTCCTCTGTCTGGTGCTGTTTCTGTGCGAGCAGGTAGAGTTTTTGAGCAGAAAAGTGAAAGCAGCCGTTTCTCATTCCTTATTCTGTTAACCTCTAAGAGGAAGAGGAATTGTTATTCTTTCTTGTGTTTTCCCCTGTCAAGGCAAGGCGATGCTTGTCATCTTTTCTCCTTTCCACTATCCCTGGAATCTATGTAATTGAAAAAGCTCTGCTAATAAATCTTCTGCCTCTTATCAATTCTTATCTCATACACATTCTGATACTTCAAAATACTTTAGGAAGGTATGCCATTCATGATACATGCTTTGTACCACAACCAAATGGTACAACACCGGAATACATTTCTGAAGGTATTCAGTTTCAGGGAGAATTTCTTTACAATGAAGATATACTTTTTTTTTTGTCAACTCAATGCAGTGGATCACTTTTTTTTCAGAGAGTGTTTCCTGTTATGTCAGAAAGAGTGAATTCTAAATTGTTGTTTTTTGTAGCGTTTGGGATGACAACTTGTGAATGAGGGAAATCACACTAGTTAAGATTGTTATTGGATAGTGTAATATAGAGATTCTGCTGGCAGAGAGAAGGAGCAGGCAAGAACAAGCATGACTAGTTCTTAAAACAGTTCTGTAGCTGTTACTGATCACATGTAATGTAACATCATTTCATAAGGTCCTTCAGTTTTAAGTTACCCATTGAAGTGGGATATCCAAAATCACCCTGAACCTGAAAATGCAGCTTTGCTCTGAGGCTGGGGGGCACGTTACCATCTGAAAGCTACTGAAAAATCTTTTGCAAGATAGGCAGGGAAGCTGGTGGTGCTTGGAGCCAGCATTACCATGTTGCCTGCGGCTTGTTTGTTGAAACTGATTTTCTGATTTTAGTGAAGGTAGTAGCTCAGCAGCCTGCAGATTTGGCAATTCCTTGGTGCCTCCTTTGATTTGAAGCAGGTGGGCAGGGGACAGCAAGACAAAAGGCAGCTGACTTTGAGCAGCTCATCAAACCAGCTGTTGGTAAGAAAACAGTGTGAAAAGCATTTAAGTCTCAATGGGAATAATATCAGGTTGTTGTACATACACTGTTTAAATCTAAAATTGCTTTTCTCATATTCCCAGGCAATACATTTTCAAAAAGACCGCAGGCAAAAAATGGCTTGAGTATAAATTGCAGCAATGTAAGCTGACAGTGATTGCTATCTTGTGTACAGGGATCTTACTTGAAATGCACAGTACCTGCTTTGACTCAATTACAGATGCCATAAAACTTTAAAATAATGTGAGCGTATTACATGAGAATCTACTTAATAAAAGTGGAGTTGTACTCTTTTTAATTACGCTAGAACGTAAGAGAATGTGATTGGCTTGGTAATTGTGAATGTGAGTCTTAAAGGTAAATGCCCTCTGGGGATTCTTATTATTAAGTCTCTTGCCAGGTATTGCAAGATATGAGAGGAAGGGTTAATTGACAACTTTTAGTATTAAATGATTGTGTTGATAGAGCTGGCAGGTGCAGAAAGTATACAGCATTGTTGTTTGTGATCGTTAGTTTCTACTAGCCAGCAATGTAACCTCGCAGCCCACAAAACCAACTGTATCCTGGGCTGTTTAAAGAGAAGTGTGGCCTACAAGGCAAGGGAGGTGATCCTGCCCCTCTGCTCTGTGCTGGTGAGACCTCACCTGGAGTACTGCATCCAGATTTGGAGTCTTCAGTACAAAAGAGACATAGACCTGTTGGAGCGTGCCCAGAGGAGGGCCATAAAAATGATCTTAGGGATGGAACACTTCCCCTATGAGGACAGGTGGAGAGAGCTGGGGCTGTTCAGCGTGGAGAAAAGTCTCTGGGGAGACATGAGAAGAGGAGCTATAAGAAAGAAGGGGACAGACTCTTTAGCAGGATCTGTTGTGACAGGACAAGGGGAAATGGTTTCAAACTGAAAGGGAAGAGATTAAGATTGGATCTAAGGAATAAGTTTTCTTATAGTAAGAATGGTGAGGCAGTGGCACAGGTTGCCTGGAGAGGTGGTGGATGCTTCATTTCTGCAGACACTCAAAGTCAGGCTGGATGGAGCTCTGAGCACCCTGATGTAGCTGTAGGTGTTGCAGTGAATTGGACCCAAATGATTCTATGATTCTACTTTTATAACACTATAGAATATATATAGTGCATTGGTTTTAAACAGCATTATCTTTAACGTCATTTAGTTTTGGGATGGGAGGTGGGGAAGAATAATAATCCCTGCATGTTGACTAGTTTATGTAGCATGACATTGTTTTAGGTACTTCATTCCTATGATTAGCATGCAGATCTTAGCATTGGGTAAGTACTTTGAACTATTAAATCTATCTGTTCCATTAATGAATGTTCTCTCTCAAGAGAAAGGAAAGGATGCCCTTAAGGTATTGCTAAGGTAGGTACTGCTTCCTCCTTCCTGAAGCATATGAAAGTGAATATCAACAGAAGCTTGTGGACTGGCAGATTTTAGTCCTATCTCCAGTAGAGTGCAGGGAGCAGCAGTTATCCCCTCTTTGTAGATACAGCATAGCACACTGCTTCATTGAAGGTGCCATGGATCAGAAAGCAAGCAAACCAAGTATCAGGTGATTGGCTGCAGCTCAGTAACTCCTGGTGTGTAGGGGAAGGCATGGTTTGTTCATGGATCTGTGGTGTCCGTAAGACCTTGCTAAGGAACAGAAGGAAGTAGCACATGTTCCTGAAAGGTGGGGATGTAAGCTGTCAGATGATTTGGGATGTCATTGCTTTGCTTTGTGTGACAACCAAGGCAGTTGTCAGAATAAACAGTGCATGGGATATTTCTTTTAATGTTAACAATGGCATAACTTTTACCCATACTTTCATTAGTGTTTATGATGTGCAGAAACAGCTATTTTATAATGGCAGCAGATGTGAAAAAACTGAATACCTTCTAGATCATTCCAGGCTGTTAATTCAGTAGTAGAAACCTTTCTAGAACAGAGTAACTGATCCTAATAACTTGAAAAGCCAAACAGGTACAGACTTGATTAGTTTTGATGGTGGCTTTTTGTACTGTGGAGACACTTTAAGGATCTTCAGGTCAGAGATGCTTATTTTGAGTGTGTGTAGCAAATAGCACAGATGATTCTGAAGTTAAGTATTATAGAAGTTTGCATAACTGCTTTCTCAGACTGAGTTATCGCAAAGTGTTTCTTAGAGACATCCTGTTCTGTCATTGCTGACAGTAAAAGCTATGTCATCACTCTGGCATACAGGACACTTGGTATGTGTCCAACTAGATGCTCTTTCTGAAGCGAAGTAGCAAGCGGACTGCTCCAAAGTATGGTCATGCGAAATGCATATTAATTTCTGGAAATCTCTTTTGTTTATGAATATATAGTGCTTGCTGCTGCCTCCCACAGATGAGACCATTTGTCTGGATTTGTTTTAATCTCTATAACAGTGAGAATGTGGTATCTCACCTGTAATACTATATAATGATGTTTTAGTTCCTACAGTAAATCTGTACTTGGCTTAATAATGTGAGATATGTCTTTGTGTGTTCAGGCTGATTTAAACACAGGGTTTTAATCAAATAGGAATGCTTTGTTTTATTGTGTACTCCAAAATAAATAGTAAGAAAAATCCCTTTAAACTAGTCTGCTCCTCAACCTTGGGAAGGAGCAAACAGCAACAGCATCACCCGGTCATGCAAGTGATTAGTTCCTTAAGATTGAGTCTGCACACAAAACTTGTTTCATAATGAAAACTTAAAATAATAGAACGTTGGAAATTATTATTGTCAACTTAAAAAGCTTTCATTGTCAATTATTAGTAATTAACTATGGAGAAGGATGTTACTATTATTCTGTTATTATGCTCTAAGTTGCATTAATACTGAAGATGTGTATTCTGCAAAAATTCTGCAAAAAACTGCAAACTGCATAGTTTGCTCTCTGTCTTAGCATAGTATACTGGCAAGGTGCTGCAACTTGTTTGGTGCAGAGCTGAATATAAACACTCCTGCAATGGGATAATTTTGTTCTGCAGTCTGATTCTTATGCACTTACTGCAGGAAGACTACATACAAGCAGTTTCATAATCTGTGAGTATGCAGCTTGAACTGCATAAATTTGCTCACGAAGCTTTAAAAAACACCAACTTAATTATGGCATTTAAAAATAAAACTAAATTCTAGCATTAATAACAAAATAAAAGCACAACAAAGAAGACGTTGGACCATTATTTAAAATTAGAGAGATGTAGATTCTTCCCCACCTCCAGGAACATGGATTTGGTTTGACAGCAGTCAGGGCATGTGTGTGTTATGTATTTGTTGACTTGGCCAATAACAGAAGAAGAGTGTAACTTAGCCTGATCCAATGTGTATGGGAAACAGAGTGCTTAAATATTAGGAAATGAAACACAGAAATCTGTGGCTCCCATTCTTCACCTTGTTTTGTCTTATTTTACAGTCCACCCCTTTACACCTAGCAGCAGGCTATAACAGAGTACGAATAGTCCAACTTCTGCTTCAGCATGGTGCAGATGTTCACGCAAAGGACAAAGGGTATGTAAAGTGATTTGATTTATAATCCATTTGTAGCAGTGGTTTGCTATTAACCAAGATGACAATTTATTTCTCTGCTTAATGTTGCAACGTGATCTCAAATAGTTGGCTGAGAATGTGATATTTGCTTTAAAAGTGTGTGTTTCGTGATAAATAATCTTTGTTATTCCCCAATAACAGGATAGCTTTGTCTGCCCTTTTAAGTTTTACACCTTTAATTTTTTCAAGACATTTTTCCTTGCATCCCTGCAAAGACTTTGCTGTGGTGTCATGGACTGGTACCATAATTTTGGCAAAGGTAGCAGGGAGAGGATGCTCAGTGGGGGGCGGAGGGGGGGGAAGTGCATTGAAAAGTTTCTCCATAATTTAGACTTCTTTATGAACTAGTTATCTTGTTGTATATATACATGTGGATGTGATTCCAGATAAACATCAGTGATGGGCTCAGAACGACAGGTTCTTAGAGATCTACCTTGATTAACACTGCAAGCAAAAAGCAAGATGTACTAGAAGCTAAACTTCCCTTTTTGTAGTGAGGACCCTAATGAAGTAAATTACAAGAAAAATTATGCAGCAGTCAGAAATCTGGAGCTACATATTGTATGTACATTGTTAGCTGTATGATTCTGAAATATGAGGTGAATTCTCACAGTGGTCAGATAGGACTGAGAAAGCTTAGTCTTAACAGCAGAAAACAGGCTTCTGTTTAAAGGCATTTGTTTTGTATTTGAGGTTTGTAGGGGTGTGTTAATGAGTGTGCTCTCCAGCTATCAGCAGGCTTGAGCCAGCCTAGCATTAAAGAAGATTTTAAATTAACTCCAAAGTAGTCCTAAGCATACTTAAGCTCTTGAAGGTTAATTATTGTAGCACTTTATCTGTGCATTTACTCTTAATGGCTTTGATTAAAATTGTCTTGGAATGTGTCATAACACATTACGTATGCCACAAAAACACAGTAAAGATACATGTAATACCTATTGGTAGGTCCAGACATTTTTGAGCAAGTTTAGGTATTTCCCACCTTCCAGAAATTTGAGTGCAACTTTGTACAACATTCCCACGTAGATGATTTAAGGAGGCTGGAATGATCTACTTGGAAAGTATTGCCATGTGAAAAGTAATTAACTTGAGCTTGAGAAGAGGATAAGAAAGGGAAGGAAAACAGTTGCACATACCTTTAAACAATTCAAATAGGCTAAGATATGCTTACCAGCCCTGTGAGCTCCCTCTCTTTTTTTTGTTTTATTGGCACCAGTGATTGAATGTTTGGGGCGGAATTGTTGTTTTGTTTGTTGTTAGGTGGTTTCCACTGTTTCATGTTAATAAATAATTCGTAAGAAAGTAAGCTAGTCTGGTGCTTGCTTTTCCAATGCTCTTTTCACTAACTGCAATTTTGGGATGCACATACTATTTTTCATAAATGGTGAAGGTTTAATTGTTGTTTTCAGTGTATTATGCATTCTGATTTGTTGAGCCATAACTAGCTTAGCTTGCTTGGCTTGAATTAAACTCTTCTGGTTTTCTGTAATAAACGTCCTCTCTGCATCTCCCTTTCAGTGCATGACTTTTTTTTATTACATATCTTGTACTAGATCACTTTCATTTGTTTCACAAGTGCTATTTTTAAGTATGGCTTCCAGTAGTATAGCTGTACAGAAAACACAAGGACCCTCTTATAAGTCTCTTGCAGAGTTAAATAGGTAAGACTGTGAAAAATGCAGTAAAATGAAGTAATTCCACAGTCTGGAGCAGCATTTCAGTCTGCGTTGTATGGATATCTGTACACTGTCAGAATATTCCCAGGAGTTACACTAGCATTATCTGATGAGTTCTGCCTTTCATACAGCATTTTATATAAACAGGAATGCTGTTTAGACTAGAACAGAACGTTGACTTCTCCTAAGCAAATTTAGTGTGGAATGGGATGTTTCCCCTCTCCCCTTAGCTTCATGAAAGATAATTTTGGAGGCAATTAATACTAATCTTACTGGTAGATTAAACATCCGTGGCCTGCAAATAAAAAAATGCTTTAATGCCACTCTTAAATAATGTGTTGTTTGAGAACTTCAGATATTTTCAGTGATTTGTCAATCTGAATTTTTAAATATCTTAATGTTTAGGTTTAATTTTATTTCAGTTGATCTCTCACTAAGGATTAAATAGTACTTTCTTCAAAAAGAAGCCACTTGAATAGATTTGTCATTTGCCTTCTTTCCTACAGTGGTCTTGTGCCTCTTCATAACGCATGTTCATATGGACACTATGAAGTTACAGAGCTACTACTTAAGGTAAGCAGGAGGACAGAAAGTGATTATTGTAGATTTTGATGTGTTTGAGTTGTTCATACCACAGTTGAAAAGGAAGATCCTTATTGGTTTTAAACATCCTGTAATTTTGAAAGCATGCAATTTCACAGCTGTGGTTTTTCTCTACCTGATTTATTTAGAGAAATTGCAGAGTTGAAGTAATATGAATTAAAAAATAATAATAATAATCTACTGTTCTAAAAAAAAAAAGTAATACAAAAATTCCTTTTTTTTTTTGAGGATTCATCATGCTTTTATATGCACAGATTTCTATAATTCGTTTTTGTGTGTGTGTTCATATGTGAAAGAATGGAACCAGTTTTTATAATGAAAATGTGTGCACTTTTAATAGTTGAAGATGACTTCCTACTAACAGAAGGCTTTCTTTCCTGCACTAGCATGGCGCATGCGTTAATGCAATGGACCTCTGGCAATTTACTCCCTTGCACGAGGCTGCTTCCAAGAACCGTGTAGAAGTCTGCTCCCTCTTGCTGAGTCATGGTGCAGATCCCACATTAGTCAACTGCCATGGAAAGAGCGCGGTCGATATGGCTCCGACACCTGAGCTAAGGGAGAGGCTGACCTGTAAGTATGTTCAGATTTGAAGCAGTTCTTGGTGGGTGTAAAGGGGTGCTTTTCTTTCAAAGCAGCTGCCTCATAAATCACAGATAGATGCAAAGCAGCAAATAAATGGTAGATGTGTTTATTGCTTTGAAGTAACCTCTAATATGCCATGTTTTTTTAATGTCTGGTGGGTTTTTTCTACATTTAAAATGTTTAAGGCTAGAAGATACTGCTGAATAAGTGTCCACTGTTGATTTTTATGCTTAGAGTCTCATCAAGCCAGATAGGAACCTCTGTGTTGGATCTATGAACACTTAGAGTAACTTCCAGAAGGTATATAGTTTTGCTGTGCAAGCTTGAGGAGGGAGACGTTCCAACACCTTCTTTTGTAGTCTTTGCAATCCTCGTGCTGTTTGTATAATATGCTTCACCTTTTATTTGAATTTGTGTACCTTCATTTGCCCTCTTTTGGCAATTTGTTTTCTCATCATTATAAACTGTGAAAGTGAGACAAGTATGGAAACAAGACATTATGAAGTTACAGAAAAGACTTTCTTGAGAAGTACACTCTGAACTCAGTTTTATATTGCTTCACTTTTAAGCTTTTGATTTTCTGTCACCTTCTGAATATAGCTGGAGCCCCCTGATGCACTAGGAATATAATCCTGCACGACTCAAAGTCATAGCTACTCAGGTTGCTGTCTGTCACTGTTCTTTGCCTGTGAAGGTGGTAATGCAGAAATGAGATAATGTGTTTCCTAGAGGAGAAAAGATGTTGGGGTTAATGTCTTTCAGCTACTTCTGATCTGTCTGTTCTGGACTGGCTTGGGAGGTGATGCTTCTGACTTTGAAGCAGGTTGTTTTACCAGTCGCTTAAACTAACAAGCAAAAATTTACATCTACTTAAACTCTGTTCTACTTTTGTATTTATAGATAGTAGAGGGACTAGAGAAAGATTCATATCCATCAGTAACCACTGAAATGTGTACAAAAATCTGAACTTTATGTCAAGTTTTCTATCTTTCTGATGGAACAAGCTATATTTGCATACCTAAAATAACATGTTTAGTATATTCTTGAATTCTTTGTTTTCATACTTCAGGAATAATATATATTCATTATTTCAGGATTTCTTTTTAGTTGTACTTTGGTAATGCTGTCTTTAGAAAGAAGTGTGAATTCTATTTGAAATGAAACCACATATAACCACACATAACCACACATAACCACAAATGCACTGGATGTCAAGACAATTGGGAGAGAAAAGCCTGCTTAGCAAGTTTGGCATTTCAAGCCTGATAATGAAAAGAAATATATAAGCAAAACTGATATTTATACTGAGATGACTAAGCTTTTTGTTTCTCATTCCCAGGTTCAGACCTCATCATTGTTAGCCTGCCTCTTATTTGTATATTTTAAGAGAAATGCTTTTTGTCCTTCTCAAAATAATTTTCAACTTAAACAAGGTAGTTGCTGAACTGAAAAAGTTGTGATCTAAAAAATAAGTTAAAAAAAAAAAAGTTATCTTTGTGCTCTTACAAGGATATAACTGCACTCAAAATCTTTGGAGCAGACTGGCTTCAAATGCTTAGCTGGCGTAACTTTCTTTAAGACGAGTAGTTGAACAGTTTTATTTAACTAATACTTTAAGGCTTTACGATGAATTATTTATAGCTATAAATAGAGTGAAGTTTTGAAAAAGCAGCTATAATGCTTTCTTTCTGCAGAACCATGTAGGAGCTGTATGCACATGTGACAACTGAATTGATCTATATATTCCTTTAATATCTAATGGTTGAAGAAAAAGAGGGAGGAAAACGATAAGTGTTTTATTCAGGAATATCTGTCCTTCTTTAGAATGTCAGTTTGGTTTCTGTAAATCACATTGTCTTTCACGTTCTGTACCCCAGGACAGTCACCATATGAATATGTACAGAAATACTCTTGCTGCTTCCTAGTATCTTCCAGCTGCCTTTTTTTGAGTAATACCTGCAAAGGTGATGTGCTGAATGTTAAATGCATCACTTTCTCCAACAGATGAATTCAAAGGACATTCTTTACTGCAAGCAGCTAGAGAGGCGGATTTAGCCAAAGTAAAAAAAACACTTGCTTTGGAGATCATCAATTTTAAGCAGCCACAGTCACATGAGACTGCTCTGGTAAGATTACAAGGACAATCCATTTATTTTGTGATAAATGTGGTGGTGGTGCTAGTTGAGATATTGTTTCTACATTACGAAAATTTATTCATCATCTGAGATTGAGGATTTGCCATCAAACCCTTTGTATTTTAAAAATAAATCACAATTATAGAAATAATACTATATGATTTTTACCACGTTTCTTTTTTCCTGGTTGATTATAGAAACCTTCTGGCCAGGGCTCACCTGTTTTCACTTTCTTCTGTGGTTTTTTTTCCCATAAGAATGTGCTGTTTGTTGGTCAGTTGTGTTTTGCTCGACTTGAAAACTACTACATGAAACGTGCGTCTTTCTCATAGCAGGAGAAAAGGCTCTGTATGTTACGTGTTCAGGCAGAGTTATCACAAATTTTGTTTGTAAATTGTGTAGTCTGATGTTTAGCAGAATAATTAAGGCATGAAATGATGGATCTCAAACTTTTTATATTTACTTTTATGTTTACTTCTTTGCAGCACTGTGCTGTGGCCGCTGTGCATCCCAAACGGAAGCAAGTAACAGAACTATTGCTCAGGAAGGGAGCCAATGTTAATGAGAAAAACAAAGAGTACGTTTCTGAAATTTTTACTTTTTCAAAGGACTCTGTCATAGGAATGTAAAATAATCTCTCTTTCTTGGTTTAGTTTCATGACACCTTTGCATGTAGCGGCTGAGAAAGCTCATAATGATGTCATGGAAGTTCTGCATAAGCATGGAGCAAAGGTAAATATGTCCAAATATATCTTATGGGAGAAGGCAAGAGGGAGGATTATGTCAGTTAAATACAGTGTTAGGTTGCAGTATAGCTACTGCTTTTTATTCTGTGTGTCTTGTGTTTCTCATATCAGTCTTGAACGATGTTTATCTTAAATCAGTACAGCATGTTCAGGAATCCCATATGAAAACTAAGTCTTCTCCAAATAACTTAATACAGGATTTAGGAGTTCATCTAACTCATTTTTAATGAATCTTATTATTCAGTTGTAATAAATGTGCTCATATAGTTGACTTTTGTTGCCTTCTCTTGACAACTTAAAAATATCAAATGCAGGAATTCGCTAATGCTGAATGTGGTAGTCTGATGCTAGTCATCGTTTAGCACTTGCTTCCTTCTGCTTTTCTTGATTGTTTTGGCATTCCATTTAGCCCTTGTCTGATGCTTAACAATGTAATTTGTGAGCCTATGTTGAAGCATATGTGCAGCAAGTTATTAGATAAAGGCAGAGGAAAGTACAGAGTTCTTTATTTCGTTTGTTTTCTAGCATCTTTCAGAAGTATTTCAGAATTAATCTTTGAGTTTCAGTTGATTCACTAGAGGACTGAGTGATCTTGATGAAGGATTTACAGTTATTTAAAGAATTGCGCTGAGTGGTATTTTCCTGTGTTTTTTTGTTCTTTTGTGTTGGTTTTTTTCAATTGACAGTATGCAAATACAGGTGTAGTTATTATCCTTGAAACTAATTCTTTGCTACTGTTGTGTTATGTGTTTCCTATGTTATTCTCAGTAAATCCATTCACATTTGTGATCAGAAAAGCACTTAAACACTGCCTACTCCTAGTTAAAGTTACGTGTATGTTTCCATACTGCACTGGATCAGGCCTCTCTTTCTGTGTCCTAAGTTGCTTAGCTGTAAAATGCCGTCACGGTTCTTAATGAAAGATAGATCATTAAGGTTTATGAAGCTCTGTGAAGTTCCCAGATGGGTTATGCTCTCAACTGTTGGTCTTCCCTCATAAGAGAACTATCATTATCATCCTTATAACTCTTCTCATCACTGGCACCACAGTGAATCTTTGTAGCTCAGGCAGCAAAAATGGAATTTGCTTTCCTGCTGCCATGTATGATGACACTTCCATATCTCTAATGTAAATACCTTAATCAGCACATACTGGGATTATTTGCCTTTTTAATATATTAGACACAGTACTACACAGATCCTGCCCGTGGTCTTGTAATACACAGAGAATCTTGATTTTTTTTTGTTATATTTTTGTATTCATGCTCTGCAGCACAGTTCTTCTGTGCCAAGATCATTAATGGAAATATTAAACAAAATTATTGTGCAGCCAGTCACTGAATAGGTTTTCCCCTTTCAGTACTTACAACTCTTCAGCTAATTTTTATTTTTTCATATTTTCATACCTGTTTGATCCTGTAACAAATGCTCACTGAACTGTAGATGATTGAGGCCTACCATATTTGCTTTAATTTGAAATTATTTATACTGTCAAAGGGAGGGTACTAGATGAGTTGCCTTAAAAATACTTTTAGAAAACAGTACTTAGAGACTAACAATTTGAAAAAGGTGAATAATTAGAGCAGAACTTTTTTCTTGAAATATGGTACCAAAAGGCAAATAGAACTGATTCAAAGAAAAGCATCCAGCAGTGGACTTAGGAGACAAAGTCATGTAAAGCTTTGTGGTTTGAGAATCATTTGAGATTGCTTCAGGAATGTAGAGGAAATCCTGTTGTTTTGCTGAAGAGCTGCTGTGTCAGACAGCAAAAGTGAGGTAACGTGAAATACTTGTGTTTGAATATGCTCCTTTGTTCTGGGAAGGGAGACAGAGCATAATAAAGACTGTTCTAGGGAGTTTGTTTGGAATGAACAAGAAAATGTTGATGAACTAGAACTGAATTTAATTATCCTGTTTTTTTTCTTTCATTATGTTAACTTGATTCTTGAAGTTTGTCGGACTGATAAAAAAGTGAAGAACCATTTGAATAACATGCGCTTGATCTAGATTTATTTTGTGGAAATATTTGAGAGCACTAGTATTGCCAGGAGTCAGCTTACATCCACAGAATCGTGTTATTTTGATGCCTTGCTGGCTCTTATTGAGGACACAAGTCTCTCGCATCACTTGCACATTAGTGTGGTACGTCTCACACAGCGTCCATTCTGAGGTCAGTGCCTATGCTTTCATTAGCTTGTTGAGCTTGCAGAAGTTGGACACGACAGACTCAAAATGCTTTTAAGTAACTTTGATGCAGAATACATTTGTGGATGTGATGCTTAGATATGTGGTTTAGTGATGGACTTGGTAGTGTTATTTCAAGTGCACTTGATCTTAAGGGTCTTTTCCAACATAAACAATTCCACGATTAGCTTTCCAGACTTTAGGTAGACATGTGCTTATTGCAGGGAATAATAAGCATTGGAAAAATAAATTTTCTTTCAGAAATGGAGTAGGTTTTGGATCATGATAGCTAGCAACACAAAAAACTAACTGTGTGGTCTTTTGTGATTGTGTAGTTCATCTTTTTTCACTTACTGGATAACCTGCCATAATAACACTAATATTAAGCTTTTATGCAAATGGACATCTGTATAACAGATGTCTGGGTTGTTCACGAGCTTTCAGTGTGAAACTGGACCTTTTTCCTTGTTTTTTCTCTCCTTGACATAGATTTACTCCTATTTATAATGCTACACAAAGGGGGGGGTGGGGGGGGGGGGGAAGGAATAGATTACAAATTGTCTTTAAATTAAATGCAGAAGAAGAGCAGTTAGAACTCTTCCATTGCAGGGAAGGGTGCTGTGCTGTCTGAGCATGGGTTCCATCCCAGATTCTTAGAATGTGTATCTTTTAGAAAGACCTCATAGAAAACTACAGCTTGGAAGCTGTTGTGTTTTGTGCTGCTTGTAGTGTCAAGAAGTATGAAAGTATTTAGGGCATTTGATAGCAAAGGAAAGCTGTTACGCTTATGATGTCTTGCAGAAAAGGCTCCTGAATAGCTTTTGAGCTGCAACATCTACTTGACTGAAAAGGGAATACTTTTGTAGCTCTCTGAATGATGCTCTGAGTCACCATAGTTCAGGGAGGGAAAGTCTCTTCAAAATGGTTTCCTATCATCTGACACTGATTTATTGAGCAAATATATGGCTAGGATAAGGAAAATGAAATAACAGGAGTTGTATATGGGATATTCTGTGTGCAGTGGTATCTTTCCATGAGGAATCTTTCTTGAAATCACTTTTCATTTGATAACACCATTCCACTTTCATGTTGCAGTTTGAGCAGTGGAGTGACCGTATGCATATTAAATGGTGAAGAAGGCAGGTTCAGAGACAGTATGATGTGAGATGAAAGCTGTCAAATCAGTCACTTTTACTGACAAATCTGCAAGGAGTTAAAGTAATTAGGAACTACTACCTACCCATTCCAAACTACTTAAAAAGAGGACCAGTTGAATGCTTTTAATTTGTTTAGTGCAACTAGAACTATTTATCTTCTTGGCAAGCAAATAAGACAGTACAGCTTGAGTATTCTACATTTTGTCAGATAGAGCTTAAACTTCAGCTTTGAATTTGATTTTAGACCTAATATTGAAGAGTGGCTAACCCAGATATCTATCTTAGTAAGTTTGAATTTTGAGAGATTAACCTCTGTTTGTATTTCTTTCAGGAATTACAAATTTACAGTGGCATCTCTTGATTGTCAGATTGTTTTAAATGCTCTATTTGGTCTTCATTTTGAAATAAATCCTGTTGCCTTCAACCTTAGTGGAATACATTCTTGAGTTTCTTTTGGGTTTGTTTTAGACAAATGCTGGGTGATTGGTGAGAGCAGCTGTTTCACAGTGAACGTATTCCCCTTGAAATTGCCCTGCGAAGTAATTCTCTTTTCCTGAAAGAATAGTTTCATTTGGTGTATGCATTCCTCTTGGTCAGCTGCAGCCCTCCCTGTCCCAGAAGTGGGCATGCGTGTCTTCAGATGGCTGCGGTTCTGCCACAAGAGTTGATTGTTAACAAGGATAGTTATTTGGAGGTGAAAGGAGACCTGTATAAGACATGTGATATGGTGGATCTGATGACTTTGCCAGTGTTCCTTTCAAGTGAATATTAGCATTTTTTCCAGGTCACAGTTGTTATCAGTTAGTGCAGCGTGGATGCCTTGCTGCTGTTCTTCCACAATTTGTTCCGTACAGGAGTATTGAATACAGGAATCCAGTGTTACAGAAAATGTTAACTATGATCGTCTTTCCTGGCTAGCTCAGTACTACCATCTACTTCTAGAATCCACAAGCCTCACTTAATTCTGTCTTTGCTACTAACTGTACATAGCTTGAGGCTTGTGCTCCTGTCTGTGCCCTTATCTGTATTGAAACGTATCTGATGTCCTGAAACAGATGAGGGTCATCACCAGAACAAAGTTATGGATTTGGGACATTCAGCATCTAGTTAATATTTATGAAGGCAGTAAGATTTTATTTAAAACAAAACTTTTAGGATAATCCCATGAGAGAGTCATCAGCTGAGCATGGTTAGAAGAAAGCAGAGCTGTTCTTCTGTACATCTTCCTAGGAGAGAGGTTTGTGATCTGAGAAATTCCTGCTTTACCAGCCTGTAGAATTGTTCAGAGATGTAAAAGGCTTTCAAACAATGTCAAAACTGTCTATCTTATGTTGTTCTTTCTGGTATGTTGATGTATTGCAATACTTTTATATTTTTTAATCCTCTCAAGTAATAGATACTTGCTATATAGTTATTTCACTCCAAATCAAATTTTAGTCTTAACCAAAATATTTTTCACTGATTTTCATGGAATGAAATGTGGTAGGGCTTGAAGGCTGTGTTTTTGGTGAGACAACCTAGCAAAACCTTTGCTGCCACCACAACGATTTTAGTAATGTAAAAAGGCTGGTTTTTACAGTAACATGCAGTTCACAGCCTACTGTCTGTAGGCTTTGAAATAGATAACAGGTTCTGAGTTAGTTGTAGAGAACACATAGTAGTTATATATTTCATAGTGATTAAAAAAAAAAACAACCTGGACATCTGCATTCAAGTTTGTCATGAATGGTTGCTAGGTACAAAGTATCTTCTTGAAAGCTTATTTTCTATAGTTTTTTTCCCCTTTTTTTAGAGCTCTTTATTATTCTCTTTCTTTCTCTGATAGCGAGCCCATGGCAGTGCTTCCAGTGGTTCAGATTTTCTGTTAGATCTTCGCAGACAGATAGGTTTCCATTATATCACACTCTTTGAAAGCAATACCTTTTCATCATTTTGCTTGATTTTTGCCTACTTATGCAGTCTTGTGTTGAATAGATTTATATCCACTTTAAGTTAATATTTCTGTAAAATTACGTAAAATGAGGATTTTGTATCTTGCTTCTTCCCTTCTTCCTCTTCCCTTAGTGTTCTTAATATGACATCTTTACTTTAATTATTGATTGTGAGTCATGTTAATTCCTCTTCAGAAGATGATATATGGTAATTTATTTGCATTGTTAATTATTTACCTCTTTCTATATGAGAGTTTTGGTTGGTTTTTTTTTTTTGCAAATTCACTTTGTTAAATTTTCAAAAACATGATTGTTATTTCAAGTATGGTTTTAGGAATCTGTTTTACGATAACCATGAATGCAAGTAACCTACCTTTTTTTAAAGACAAGAAAGCATCTGTAGTAAATGATCTTTACACTGGAATGTTTACATATTTTATCATTTGGTTTTGTGTAGTCACCACACAGAAGGATTGATAGATAAACTTGTATGCCAGGGGATTCTTGATATAGCTCTTCCTATTAAGGGCAGGGACAGGTGCAGGCTTTTAATTCCAAGAATGTTCTGTTTTACATTGCTGCTGATTTTTCAGATGAATGCACTGGACACACTTGGTCAAACAGCATTGCACAGGGCTGCTTTAGCAGGTCACTTGCAAACCTGCCGACTCCTGCTGAATTATGGCTCTGATCCCTCCATCATCTCCTTACAAGGATTCACAGCTGCACAGATAGGAAATGAAGCAGTGCAACAGATTTTAAGTGGTAGGTAAAAATAAAAACTTGTGTATTTGAACTTCGGCTTCTCCCTTTCTTTTACAGTTGTGGATCTTATTTTTTTTCCAGTGCAAGAGACATAGTGTAGTCTGCTCATTCCTCCTTTCTGCCATCTGCACACGCATTTGCACTATGATATTTCTTTAGGAAACAAAAACCCATAACTTCTCAATTCAGAGATTCCATGCAAAACAAGAATTGAAAAAAGCACTGCTGTTACTCACCTGAGATTGAGTGTGCAAATGGAAAAATATTGATAGTTAATAAACCATTTCAATCTATTGCTTGTCCAACAGGGAAGGATTTTACTGTAATAATGCTTTGGACACTGCTTATATAACAGTGTTTTGAGCATATGCATCATCTTACCCATGTCATTTTTTAACGTTTTAGAGTAGGAAGAATAATTGTAACAGTAGCTACCAAAGAGCAATTACCTTTCAGTGGGATATGCGTTTAGCCTAAAGAAGGCAGATTGATGAGAAAACCTGCTGTACCTAGGAGCTTCACTTCCTTCAGCACTTTAAAGTGTACCCACCTACTCTTGAGATGTAGTTTGCTATTTGGATAGTGTTACCTGTTTAAAATGTGCACGTGACTCTGTGTATGTACAGAATCGCACAGAATCACAGAATTGCCAGGGTTGGAAGGGACCTCAAGGATCATGAATCTCCAACCCC